TTTCCAATTCTTGGCCACCACAAAAAGAGCTGCTATAAATATTTTTTGTACACTTGGGTCCTTTCCCCTTTTTATGATCTCTTTGGGACACAGACCTAGTAGTGGTATTGCTGGATTAAAGTGGTATGCACAGTTTTATAGCCCTTTGGTAATAGTTCCAAATTGCTCTCTAGAATGGTTAGATCAGTTCACAACTCCACCAACAAAGCATTAGTGTTCCAATTTTCCCTCATCTTCTTCAACATTTATCATTTTCCTTTTCTGTCATATTAGCCAATCTGATAGGTGTGAGATGGTATTACTGGCACTTTCCAATGATCCCTTCTTCCCTCAAACCATAGAACCTTCCTTTGCAACAAAGAAGTGCATTCGTGTAAAATAAATAAACACGTTGGCCATATCTGACAAATATGTCTCACTCTGCACTTGTAGTTCACCAACTCTTCGCTTCACCAATGGTTTATTGAAGTTATGATTAGGCCCTGCATGAATCAGAGTCTGAACATCTTTCATGGCGGTTTTTCTGGCACTCTTTTCGTTACATTAAGCTGGCAAAGTAGAGTTTCTTTCCAAGTAAGTTGTGAAGGCATGCTGATTTTTTTCATTGTGCCTTGTAGTGAATTCATGACATTAGAAGGGTAGACATAACCCTTTGATGTCCCCTCCCCACCTTTCCCTCCTCAATCTATCACCCTTCCCCTTTTCCACCGTCTTCCTCCATGTTCTTTTCCCTAGGTAGGCAGCCAGCCTAGACAAGCTAGCTTAGACCCAGTGGCTTTTTAAGCTTGGTGTTGTTATTTACCCCATGGTGCTTTATTGTTGAATGAATGAATGTTAATAAGATACTTGGAGGTCTCTCACAGACCTTGTTCTTAGAACTATTGAGTTAGAATTCAAGTCTCACAACAATTGAAAAAAAACCCCCAACAACTTTCTTTTCTGAATTGGATCTACATTTGCAGATAGTACACATTCCTCTCTGTGTTATAGTAGTCGCTCTTCTTGCATCATGAGCAGGTGTCCACAGGTGGAATAAAGAGTCCGCACATATTAGCCTGGCATGAGGTACATCATGCCACAGCATGAAATCTGGCCTGATGTTTCTCAGATAACCTTTGGTTTATGTACTCAGACAAGGCTGGGACAAATAAACCTGGGTTTGGCTTTCCAAGATTTAAGCGATCTTGTTTCAGGGCCAGTGAATAGATCTTCTAGTGAATGTCAGCCCACAAACTCCTCAGTATGCAATCTCATAAAAAAGAGAGTTCTGCATCTGTGTCCATCTCTAACAGGTCAGGCAGACATTGTGCTTTGGGTGACTTTGGGAGGTTGATTGTATTTCTGTCAAGCTATATGTAGGTCATGAGCAGGACCAATGAACAGAGCTCCATTTTCATATTGGAGGTGGTGATGGTTGTGTTGCTGACCAGATGAGAGTCCAGAGGGGTCAAGGCTTTCAAAACATTTCTAAAACCCAGTGCCAGAGGAGATGCTGAGAGAACACAGAGCTACCAGAAGGGCTGAGGGCTTGGTGCAGCTGGAACAAGAAGACACAGCCTGGGGCAGCTCTCAGCTTGCCAGTGCTGGGCACACTCCTCTGGGTTGCAGTGCCAGAGGCCATAGCCAACAGTGCAGGACATCAGCATATCTGGAAAACAGACTGCATGGAGAGATTGCTCTGGGGGCTGAGGGAGAGGGAGTGTGAAACTGGATCCAACTGGAGAGAAAATGGTCAACCTAGGATGGGATTCATTGCCAGGGAGGCAAAGACATGAAATGTGGCTTGGCATTTCTTGGAGGGTATTCGCTCTCCATGTTTACACAGAGGTACAACGGATGACTTTAGGCAGATTCATTATCAACAGAGAATCTTTTTAACAAAATCAGAGAACATTCAACGATGTCATTTTTGAATATTATGGAAAAAGAATGACTCCCCCTCCCTAATTTCTTTATATTTACTTATCAGTTTATATATTACATCCCCAACAAACTGCACATTTCAGCTTAAATAGGACTTCAGTTTCTTAAGGGCAGGGGCTGTTTCATTTTTTATTTTGTGTCCCTAGAACGTAACACAAGGCTTGTCACATTACAACTGCTTAATAAATGCTTGGTGAGTGGATTCCCTTCTCCATTACCCTATTATTTGTCTACTTGCTCTCCTCAAATGAAAAAAGAAACAAACAACCTACTACCCCAACCATCTGAAAAACCCAACATGGGCACAAAAAAATCAGTAAGAGGGATGGAGAGTAAAAGAGACATTTACAAAGAGACTATTTTATAGGTGAATTAAGATGATCTCTCCCCAAATATACAACAGTAATCCCTCATATTGGCAAAAAGCTGAGCAGTGTTCCAAGGGATTTCCACACATATTACCTCATTTGAGTCTCACAACGACCCTAAAGAAGGCAGAGCTTATTACCCCCATTTTAGAGATAGGAAAATAGAGGTTCAGAATGGTGAAATGATTTTCCCAAGATCACATAGCAAGAAAACCAGAGGCTGGGTCTCCTGACTGTGAATCCAGTATTCTTTCCAATGCACTGAGCTGTCTCTGAAACATTTTTGATAATAAAACTCTCTGCTTCAATACCACCAATTTCATGAGCCTGGTTAGTATCTACAGCAGCCCATGGGGTGTAGTTGAGGCTTTAATTTTCTGTGGGTCCACTGTATATTTCCAAGTTAGAATGTATGATCCTTGAAGATAAAAATGATTTCCTTCTTGTTGTTCAATCTTCAGGGCTTAGCACAGCATCTGGTACCTAGGAGGTGCTTAATAAATGCTTGTTGATTAATAAAAAGACATGATTGATGAGTATGTGTTGGAGGATGGGCCTATGGATATGGCAGTGGGGGAGGGTGTCAAAATGTAGAGGGTACTAGCAAAACTTATACTCCTTTAGCAGCTAGAAACAACTGAGCTTAGCACCTATTCAGCAAGACTAATCAAAATAGGAAACTAGCAGAAGTTTCTTTCCCTTGACTTCCCTTCCCCAGTTGAACTCCTGTCCTGTTTGCCCCTTCTCCCATGGTGGACCACCTTTGCCGTGTCCTGTAGTCTCTGTTTTTCTTGCTTCAAATGAATTTGTTAAAAAAAAAAGTTGGGGTGAGGTCGTTTTCCATGCTACTCTTCTCTGGCCTGCTTTGTGAAGCTCTTCCTGGAGACATGCACGCAAAAAATATGCTTGTTAAGGCTCTGTTTTGAAGGCCAGGTCATGCTGTATCAAAATATTGGAGAAGGATAAAGGTTAGTACATAGGTTGTATATTACAGTGAACATGTTACTATGTGGCATGTCCCAAAAGTCTTAGTGCAGTTTAAAGCCTTAATAGCTTAAATGGTTTTAAGCTTTAATTACTTAAGGCTTTTGGGACACCCTATATAGCTCTTCATGTAGAGAGGTCCAAATAGCACTCTCAGTTCTGGTGCCTGAAACTTAAGAGAGAAAGCTTTTGATTTTGATTTGGAGAGAAACCTTAAGATTGTAGATATAGACCCAGAAGAGTCTCAGAGGTCAGCTGGTCCAGCCCCCTTATTTTCCAGGTGAGGAAACAGGTCCAGAGGAGTGGAATGACTTGTCTAAGGTCACACAGGTATTAAATAATAGAGGTGGAATTTTGAACCCCAAAGTCATAACTTCTCCCACTGTATCATGCTGCCACTTGATAACTGAATCCATGCCTGAAGCAGAGGCGTGGTCATTGTGGGGTTATCAGCATTTCTTTTCTCATAATTAAGATACTTGGAGGTCCCTACTGTGGACCATACTTTGAAAACTGCCACTTTGGGGTTAGTGCCCAACGTCAGTACAAGATTTCTTGTCGCTATCAGATCCAGGCTGCCCCAACCCATTTTCCATGTGATAATGTGGGCTAAGGCATTGAAAGCCTAGGCTAAAATGCAAATGTTACCAAGGAGGTGCTATACCTATTGTTGGCTATTGAGACCTTAATCCGATTTAGTTTATCCAAGTAGTTAGTTAATAGTGGGATCCTAAGGGAATAAGACACAGGTGAAATAAGTTTGGATGAGCAAAGATCTTAGGGTCACCGAGAGAGTGACAGAAGAGATTTTTTGAAGTCATTGAGGTCAATATCTTCATTTTATAGATGAGAGAGCTACAGCTCAGAAAGATGAATCACATTTCTCCAAGGTCACACGGTGGAGAAGGAGAAGAGCTAGGATTCAAACTCAATGGTTATTCCATCATACTAGGCTGAAGGTTCAAGGCCTATGGCTCTTGTTAGGCATTGTAGAATCACAGATTGAGAGCTAGAAGAGGCCTTAGAGGGCCATCAAGTCCATCCTCTCATTTTACAAATGAGGAAACTGAGGCTGAGAGGTTAATTGACTTTCCAAGGTCACATAGTTAGTTAGTATGTGAGGCTGGATTTGAACCCAGGTCTTCCTGATTCTAAGTCCAATGTTGTATCTACTATTCCATACTACCCCCAAACACAGGACCAGACCAGTGGAGAATCATGAATAATATGATGATATGGGTGCCTTTTAGGACTAGGTGAGGTGCTTTGAGTCCCATGGAAAATCCAAAGCAGGGCAGTCGACAAATTTTGCCTTTTGAGTACAATTCTTGCTGAAATCTCATTTACTGTGAAATAGGCAATGAGAACCCTCATCAACAGGCCTGCCAAGTAGGGCTGGTTTAAATTCTGGCTTCCTGAAACAAATGTTTTTCTAAAATGCATCTCCTTGGTCAGCTTCCAGCCCACCAGCCCCCTTGACATGAAAGCCACAGGACGATTGTGCCCATTGTAGCCAGTTGGCCCCAAGTCTGTCTCATCTGAGAAACTGACTAGGGTTTGCAGACAAGGCAGAAAGAACACAGACTGGCCATTTCCACAAGACCAGCTTTAATATGATTGTGGTTTGAAGCACAGAATAAATTAAGGGTAAAGAAAATTCCAAACAAACGAAATCCCATGAAAGCTTTAAACAAAAAATGAACGGAAAAAAAGAAAAACCAACCAACCTTTTCCTCACCCGTTTCAAAGAAAAAGGACCAGAGTATACAAGCTACATGACAATAGAAATACAACAGAGGAGTCATGAATAGATCTTCCAGGTCACTGAGTCTGTCCCAGGCTCCCTGGGCAGTTGGGAGCTGGTCCCCTTTGGTGCTAAGGACCCCATGGGGCCAGCTGGGGTTTAGGGAGGAGGGCGTGGCCGTCACAATGCCCGGCCCTTTCTTGGAAGAACCAGTGAAAACTACACAAGGACAAAAATGCACTCAAGGGTCTGTCAGATTCATACTCGGTGGCTTGGTTTTTATTCTCATTCAGGCCAGCAGAGTTAGTAAAGGTGGTTTTTGTCATCGGGGAAAGAGGTCAGGGCTGTGATCTCGTCCCGCCAGCACTCGGGCCTCGGAGTGAAAACCAGAAACCGCAAAGAGAGGAATGTGGCTTATAAAGACAGAGATGGACACGGCGCAGTAAAAAGGGCAGGCATGCAAGTGTTTTATACATTTGGCAGTAAAGTAGGAGAAATGGCCAGCTTTGTTTACGCACAGTTCCAGAATTATGGAATTCTCTTCTGGAGAAGAGAGTCACACCCCATGGGGAACGAGGACGGAATCAAGTCAAAGGTGGCTCTTGCTAGGTTTTGGCAGATTGTTTTGTTTTGTTTTGTTTTGTTTTGTTGTGTGTATGTGTGGTGTATATATAGATATATTTTTAAATGCATAGCGATTGACTCTTTTCATTGGGTTCAGCCCTGAGCTTGCCGTCCACTTTCCTGGGTCTCAGGGTCTCAAAGTTCTGGTTGGTTTCATCGGGGTGGGGGACGGGACCGTCCTCGGGGCAGGGGGTGTCAGCAGGCAATCTCCTCCAGGGTCCCCAGAGTCGTCTGCAGGGGCACATTCACAGTGTGGCTGATGGTTTCGGAGTGGTTTGGCATCGTGTCACAGGTACTCTGGGGAAGAAGAACGGCGGAGCAGACTTATTGCATGACCACTACTGTGTTTCCCTGAGTCCTCCTTTGATTGGGAGGGCACTGGGCAATATACTGGCCATATTCTGTGTCCAGGGAAGTCTCAGCCTGGGGAGGGTCTTGGAAAAATCACAGAACCACGGTCTAGTTCAGCTCTAGTTGGAGTTCTAGTTCAACTCTAGAACCAACTCTAGGCCAACTCTTTCATTTTTCACATGAGGAAACGGAGGCCCTGAGAAGTTCAGTGACTTGCCCAGGACCATACAGGTAGTGAGGGTCTGAAGCAGGACTTGACCTCAGGCCAAAGGATTGGAGAACTAGAGCTAGAAAGGGCCTCAGAGGCCAGCTGATCCAATCAACCCATTTTACAGATGATGAAACCGAGATTAAGTGTCTTGCCCAAGGTCACACAATTAATAAATCACAGAGGTGGGATCTGAACCCATGTTTTCTGACTATATATTTCTTTCCACCATACCATTCTGCTTTCCCCTATGTTGTTGGATAATACGACAAAGCTCTTAGGTCATGCCACAGTGCACAGAGTGCTGGGTCTGGAGTCAGGAAGACTCCTCTTCCTGAGTTCAGATCCGGCCACAGACACTAGCTGTGTGACCCTGGGCAAGTCGCTTAACCTTGTTTGCCTCTGTTTCCTCATCTGTAAAATGAGCTGGAGAAGGAAATGGCAAACCGCTCCAGTATCTTTGCTGGGAAAACCCCAAATGGGGTCACAAAGAGTTGGACATGACTGAAACAACTGAACAACAACAAAAACATTGTAGAGGGAGGAAGGAGGATCATTCGGGCTCTGGGTAGGGAGAGAGGGCATCACAAATACTTCGATGACACTAAGGCTAGGAAATGCCTGGCACGTAGGAGGTACTTAAAGAATGCTTGTTGACTTGATTTCCTTGGTTGAATTAGAGGCCAATCTAGGCTAATTCTGTCATTTTCCAGATGAAGAAACTGGGGACTAGAGAGTGAATAGGAACATGGGATCATTGTTTTAGAGCCAGAAGGGACCTCAAGGCCTAGTTCTTTTACTTTTTGTTTTTTAGTCACATCCAACTCTTTATGACCCCGTTTGGGGTTTTCTTGGCAAAGATACTGGAGTGGTTTGACATTTCCTTCTCCCGCTCATTTTACAGATGAGGAAACTGAGGCAAATGGGGTTAAGTGACTTGCCCAGGGTCATACAGCTAGTAAGTGTCTGAGGCCAAATTTAACTCAGGAAGAGGAGTCTTTCTGATTCTGGGTCCAGCACTGTCTCCACTGCACCACCTAGCTGCCTCTCTTTATTTTATGGATGAGAAAATTGTGGCTGAGGGAGGTAAAAAACTCCAAGGTCACAAAGGCAGTGTCAGATTCTTTGACTCTAAATCCACTGCTTACTCCATGGACAGAGAAGGCTTCACTTGCATCACCAACTTGGTCCTCCCTGAGCTCCCCCACCTCCAATTCTATGGAATAAATTGTCCCACTGTTTCTATTTCCAGAGAAGATTCCTTTGTTTTCAGGCCCTTGACATCAGGCTTCCATGGTCTAGCTTGCCTCTGGTGTCTTTGACTGCACTAAGTTTTCCCTTCTGGTCTGCTCACGTCTATCTGCTGAAGGACTCGGGGAGTAGCAACTATAGGGTATTGGTGACCTAGCTGCTGTCCAGGGTAAAGGGGAAGGATGGGCTGCCTGGCTGAGCTCACAGCTCTCAAATGCTGAAGTTGGAGACATAAAGTGGGGGGTGCCAGGATGGAAGATAGCCCTGAGCAGAGAAGGAAGTGGTGGGAGGCAGAGAATTGGGGATCTGGGACCGTAATCCTCTGCTACTCAGTTTGTTATGAAGGTAACATTGCTGGATTTGGAGTCAAAGGACATGGGTTCAAATCTTGACTCTGCCACTTTAACTATGTGACCTTAAGCTAATCCTCTGACCCCTTTGGATCTCCTTGGTGTAGTACAGTGGAAAAAGTGCAGAGTCAGAAGAACTTGGTTCAGACTCTGAGTCTGCTCCTTACCACCTGTGTAACTTCAGGCAAGTCACTTAACTGATCGATGCCTCAGTTTTCCCAACTGTAAAAAGATGGGATTAGACTAGGTAGCATCTGAGATCCTTTATAGCATCTAAGACTCTATGATCATATGACCTATAGAATGGTATTTGAATTAGGTTGCTGGGAGCTGAGATAGGTTGCCCTGAGCTTTGATAGTCTCTCTCTCTCTCTCTCTCTCTCTCTCTCTCTCTCTCTCTCTCTCTCTCTCTCTCTCCCTCTCTCTCTCTCCCACACACTTTCTCTCTCCCCTTTGCTTCCTCTTTCTTCTGTCTCTCCTTTCCCCCTCTCTTCTTTCTCTCTTTTCTGTCTCTCTGTCTCTGTCTCTCACTCTCCTTTCCCCCTGTCTCTTCTTCCTGTCTGTCTCTCCTTTCCCTCCTTTCCCCCTCTCTCTTCTGTCTGTCTCTCTCCTTTCCCCTCTCTCTTCTGTCTCTGTCTCTCTATCTCCCTCCCTTCTGTGACAAAAGACATTGTATGTGTGAGATGACTGGGTGGAATGATGGGTACATCCTACAGCCAAACCAGGAGTAGGCTAAATGCAAATTCCTTCTGGGATTAGAAAAGAGGAAGAGGGTCCAGAAGAGGCACAAGAGGGCATGTAACCACAAGAGAGTCATGGATCATGGGATTACAGATTCAGAGCTAAAAGGGCCCTCAGGGGCCATCTACTCCAACTCTCTTTTATAGGTGAGGAAAATGAGGCCCACAAGAGTTCACACAGGTCATAAGAAGCAGAAGTGGGATTTGAACCTATTGTCCTCTAACTCCAAGTACAAGATTGTCACCTCTCCTTACCCCCCCTGCCCTGATCTGTGATTGTGCTATGAAGAGGAAACAGAAGCCCATGGAGGTGAAGAGATTTACCTAAGGTCATAGAGTTGGAAGTAGCCAAGCCAGGATTTGAACTCCAATATCAAATCCAGCAGTCTTTCCTGTACCGAACTCTGCTTGTCTAAAATGGAGACTATGCCAGCAGAAGAGAGAGGATGATGAAAAGAAAAGCAAGAGGGGAGGAAAGAGGGGAAAGTTGAGACCATTAATAGGTCTGGAAGATTGTCTCTAGCTTCCTCTGGGGACTAATGAGGAGCCTAGATCAGTAGAAGCCAGAGGGGGAAGGGAAGACCATTGGCTATCTCCATGATCTGAACCTAAGCTCACTGTAAAGAGGATGCATTATCCAATAATTGCACATCTGGTAACCTGAGCCAATTTTCTCATCAAAAGGGTGTATTAGATGAAGGGCCCTCTGGAAGAGCTCTGCAGGAGTCTAGGGATCAGATGAGAAGCAGGTGAACTTGAGTTTCTAGAAGGCAGTGGTAACGTGTGAGAGTTTTTAGGCAGACTTCAGGGTAACAAATGTTAAACTCTTTCCTGGTATGCCTGGGCAATGGAGCCAGCTTAGAGTGCTGGACTGGGCTACAGTCTACTTGGTTTCAGAATAAAAAAAGTACTCTATGGTTTTATAACCCTCCTTAGGTCAACTCTGAATAGAGTGTGGCTGGAGAGATGGGAGGCAAAACCACAGCATGAGAAGGTGGGCATAAATCATCTGACTGGCCCTGTTCCTCTGTGTGCTCACAGAAAACATTGAACACTTTGGGCAAATATACTGCTACAAATAAAGCTTGAGGGAGGGCTGGAGTGTAGAAGGGAACCAAATGAGGTGCTTCAGGCAGGGGTAATGGGGGCCAGGTGGCGCAATGCAGTGGCAGACCACGCCTGGAGAACTTAGCCAACACAGAGGGACCCATCTGACTGAGGGGTGAAAGGTGAATGGTATCAATGAGAGGCCTGAGGGAGGCAAGAGGAAGCAGGGAAGGGAAGAATGAAAAGGAAGAGAGGAAGGAGGAGGAAGAAGGCAGGAGAGGGAGAAAGGAGAAAAAGAAAATTAGCCAATCAACACACGTTCTTTGAGCCTACTTTGTACATGGCGCAGTGCTAGGCTCTATGGGGAATCCAAAGATGCCTTCATGGAGTCATCAGTCTAGGAGGAGAGACAGGATGAATATACATGTAGCAGACCAATTAAGTAAGTGAAGTAGGAGTTCAGAAAAGGGAGGTGTGTGTGTGTGTGCATGTGTGCATGTACGTGTGTTTAAAACTTTCTCTAAGAAATGTGAGTTGATTGAAGGAACTGGGGATATTTAGAATGGCAGAAAGAAGACTCGGGGTGGGGCTGTGAGGGTGTGTGTGGCTACAATATCTTTCTTCAAGTATATGAAGGATTGCACCAGCTAGGTGGTGCAGTGGATAGGGCGTGGGTCCTGGAGTCAGGAGGACCTGCATTTAAATCTGGCCTCAGACACTTACTAGTTGTGTGACCCTGGGTGAGTCACTTAACCCCAAATGCCTCCAAAACCAAATCCAAACCAAAAGTATATGAAGGGTTGTTATATATATAGATAGATTAACCTTGTTCTGTTTGGTCCTGGGGGACAGAACCAGGAGGAAGAGCGGTGAGCTTACGGAGGAAATTATAGGCTTCAAATCAAACAATGAATGAGAGCTGTCCAAATATGAAAGAAGAGGGTACCTTAGGAGGTGACAGGCATCATTAGAGATCTTGGTGAAGAGGTTAGGTGACTACTTGCCAGGTATGTTGTGGTGGGGGCTCCTTTAGGATATGAGTTGGATAAAATGAACACTGAGGTCCTTCCTGCCTCTCAAATTCTCTGACTCTGTGGTTTGACTTCTGAGTGGGTCTTGAAGGATGGCTTGGATATGGATAGTTGGAGGGGAGAAGGGAGGGCATTCCAGGTTACCAAAACAGCTTGAGCAAAGGTATGGGGCCAGGAATGATCATGGGGGAATGTGCAGTCATAAGGAGACTGGCTTAGGTGGAGCAGAGGTGGATAATGGGGAGAGGTAAGAAATAGGTTGGACCGATAGAATGGGAGCAGATTAGGGAGGGCTTTGGAAGTTAGGCTGAGGCGAAAGGCATGATGGAGTGGAAAATCACACTGAATTTGGAGTCAGAGAATCTGGGTTTGAATTGTTGCTCTGTATTATAGCATTATAATCATTATATAATTTATAATATGATATAGCATATAATTAATAGAAGTATTATAGTTAGAACTAGAAAGTGACAACATGAACTTTTTTTGAAGCATTTGTATTTTAGAGAAGAAAAGGCTGAAAGAAATGACTTGTCCAAGGTTACACAGTCTGGATTTGATTTGGTAGGTGATAAAGGAATCATCATGGGTTCCTGAGTAGGGGGAATGATGGGATCATATGGAGGTTGTCTAGTACAACCTTTTATTTTACAGATGGGGAACCTGAGGCCCGGATTTGCTCAAGATCACAGAGGTGGTAAGTGGCAGAATTAAAGTTCATACCCCAGTTCTTTATTTCCAAATCCAATGCTCTAATCCAAACCCCTCATTTTCCAGAGAGGAAACTCAGGTCCACAGAGGTTACACAGGTCCTAAGTCATAGGAAAGAGATTTGGACCCAGGTCCTTTGATTACAAATAGAATCTTTCCATTTTGCTATGCTGCATAAGTGTGGTTTGTTAGGAAGATTAGTTTGGCAGTAGTGTATAGGATTGCCAGGGATAGATAGTCAGGAATGGGAAGAGATACAAGTCCAAGAGACTAGCCGTGAGAATGTTGCAATAATCCAGGCATGAAATGAGGAGAGTTTGGACTGCAATGGTGACAACAGGAATGGAGAGTAAGGGATGAATCTGGAAGATATCCCAAAGGAGAAATTACAGCACTCAGCAACACTGTCTGCAAAGGGCAGAGGAAGAAGAGTCCAAGATGATTCTTAGGTTTCTAGCTTAGGATTCTGGGTGACGCCACTAGCAAAGAAATAATTTATAAAAGGAGTCTGGAGTGGAGGGGAGGAAGTAAATGATGATTAATTCAGCTTGGACATATTGAGATTGAGGGAATCATAGTATAACAGGATCACAGGTATATACCTGGAAGGGATTGTAGAGGTCATTAAGTTGACCCCACCTGCAATTTACTGATGAGAAAACCGAGGTCCAGAGAGAGAATTTGTCCAGGGTGACAAAGCTAGTGTGGGTCTGAGGAGAGATTTGTATCCAATTATGTCTGAATCCAAGTCCAGTGCCCAATGCATTATGCCATGATGAGATATCTAAGGCTATAATTTAGCTATAACTAGGGCAGGGTGACTGGGTCTTTGTCACAGGCTGCTGCATTTTGAGAGTTCTTTTTAGCACTTGCAGTCATTTAGCAGCCTAGAAATAAGGGAGATAACAATCTATTTAGCAAGAATAATTAGTTAATATAGAAAACTATCAGATGGTACAGCTTTCTCCTCCAGAGGAGTTCCTTTGCAGTTGTCCCTTTCACACCCATTGCCTCCAGAAGACATTTTTGGTTCTGCTTGCCATGGTCATAATTTATGCTACTTGCCTGAGGTTCAAAAATTTCTAGTTAACTGCTCTGGTGATCGTTAAAGTCCTGAGAATAGATGAACTTTCACAGAAAAGTGTACTGACCATTAGATCAGAGGACTGTGGACTGAATCTCAGGGAAGAGAGAGAGAGGTGAGGGAGCATTCCTAGGTAGGTAGGGGGATTAGGATAGGAGGAAAGTAGAGTCATGGAAGTCATGACTCTTTCCTTCCTTCTTTCTTTCTTCCTTCCTTCCTTCCTTCCTTCCTTCCTTCCTTCCTTCCTTCCTTCCTTCCTTCCTTCCTTCCTTCCTTCCTTCCTTCCTTTCTTTCTTTCTTTCTTTCTTTCTTTCTTTCTTTCTTTCTTT